CATGACACATGCTGTGTGAAAGTAAAGTTCAAGATTTTATAACGTAATTAATTTATGATACGTCATTCAGTTCACACAAGTCAGCTTATTCATGTGCTCAAAAAATGAAAGTTAATTTGACATATTTCAAGAACTGTTGAGGAACGCGCTAACTTTTTAGATGATGCGCATGAAAGCACACTGTGTTGGTCAGGTGGAGTATTTGAAAGGGTGGGGTTTTTTTTTTTTAAAACACCAGATCACGTTGAGATGTCAACAACCTTTGAGTGTCCCGATAAGGAGGAAAGTAGGCGGCTAATGTTTGACAAGACTGTTGTGATGAAGGATCAAAGGTCCCAGTCTGTTTTTCTGTCACAGCCTCTTTCACACTTGAGAGGGATTTCTGTCTGGGAGAGAGCGTATTTCATGAGGGTGAGTGTGTCTCTGAAAATACTCAATAAGTCAGTGGATTTTTACAAACTACTTTTGAATACTATGCACGTTAAATCCAAAGGCACCGGGTCATCTTCATCATCGTGATGGAACTGGCCTTTTATCCGGCACTGGCACTGATGTATTTCTTTGGAGTGATGAAGGCCGCGCAGGATGACCGGGTGGAGCTGACCGACCACGCGTCGATGAACGTGTTCTGTCTGTTCGTGCTGGCACAGCCGCTGTGTCTCGTAATCGGTGGATACACTGGCATGGCTACTTACCTTCTCACCGCTCTGGTATCCTACAACTTCCTGCCATGGAAAAGCAATACAAAAAAGCAAGCAAAAGAAAAAGACTCAGAGAAGAAGACAAAGTGAGAGGCAGAAACATACATTACATGGAAATACCAAGAAAGTGGATTCAAAAGGGGACTGAAAAGTATTTAAATAAAGAAAAAGAATTGTAAATAAATAGCTATTTCACAACACATTATCAGTGATTAAACCTGTTGTCATAAATCTGTTGTTTTGTCTGCAGTTGTAATGATCTGTGAGAAAGTATCTGTATTTTCATACACAAAGTGACCCATTTTATGATTCTTGATGTAGATGATGTTGTTGTAAATACATTCAGCTGAGTGACTCAAGAGCTACAATAGAGAAAATTGCAAACAAAAGGAACATTAAATCCAAAAAAACTTCACCAAGTGAAAAAATATACAGAATAGTGCAGAGCAAAAACAGAGCTATTCTTGAAATCAATCATTTGTAGACCTACTGGCTGGGAACTTTTCAAATAAGTTGCATACTTACTTCCACACCTTTATGATCAGGTTAGATGAGAGGATCAACTCCAGATTTTGTAATACTGAGCTAAAGCCAGCAGCTTGTGAATTTAGCACAAAGATGGGAACGGGGCAAACTAGCTAGCATGTTGTGCAATCTGTTGTTTTGTTTGGGGGGGGTTCTTTTTTCCTTTTTCTTACAACATTACAGATAAATAGAGAGTCTATGTGTCTTTATGCTAAGACTCCATAACAAGCCATCTAAGAACTTGCCTCAGGTATTAATGATGGTCAGGTTAGAGATCCTTTCCCCAGATTAACTTAAAATGTATGCAATAAGCAAAAGTTACAGCTAGGGTCATAAAGCTCACAGCAACCTTAATAAGTTGCCCATAATACTGATTTCTCTGTCTCTCATGGAGTTAAGGAAACTGGCAGGATGGCAAGTACTGTAGATATCATGAACTTAACCCATGGTTGGGGTTTTTTGGCTTTTTTCAACATTATTGACAGACACAGTAAGAGGAAAGCAGAGGGAGAGCGTCACCTGCTCAACACTGAGCCAAACCAGCGCCCCCTTAGCCCTAAACCCATCGCCTGCTTTGTTGCATGATGCTTCACGTTACAATTGATTCAGTCAACCACTCACTTTTTTTTATTTACCACATTTTACAAGACTTAGTTGTTGGTTGTTGGAAGAATTAACAGTGAAGTGCTCTATTCTCAGCTGCACTAAATACACCAGGCACTGTCACATCTTAGCCAAATTAAATAGTCAGAGGTCACAGTTACGCACTGGAGATAATTATGGCGACAGGAGGATAGCATATTCTAAAATAGTTTCAGGTCTTCATCACAGCAAAGGGGAAATCATCAAAGGAGTTTGGGCTCATCATAATGGTTTGAGGTAATTGTTGTATAACTGTAGAGGCGCACTGTGGTCTCAGGACAGCAGCCACTAAGGGAAATCAGAACCTGTGTGGAACAGATCTTCTTATGCGACTCTTGGCAAGAAGTGTACTTCCCAAATGAAAAATTGTTCCTTTAAAACTGAGAAAATGATTCAGTGAACATCTCCAAATTATAATTACATTGTTAATGTCATAATATGAAGCCAATTAGGTCTGGACTGTAAAGTTTGTCAGTGTCAAACAAAGAAAGCGCTGCTTTTCACCTATGACAGTGACACTGAATGTGTCTCTGGCCTTATAGCTGAGTCATTTCTAGTGAACCTGCCTACTTGAATATGACTAATCTGTCAATTAATTAAGTATTCAGTATATTATACACTCATGAACAGTGTTTCACAAAAGCTCCCACTAAACATAATTATTAAATCAGCATTGTGCTTTTTCCGTCTGTGTTCATGAATGACTGAGTGTCCCTCTGATATGAATAAGCCTGGTACCACAGAGCGTCAGGGTGTGCGTAAACCCGGACTCAAAGAGAGAGTGCATAATGGGATTAGACTGTGGTATACGGGTGATAGTCCAAGGCTGTGCTCAGTGGGTGTACAAATGTGCAAATGCTTGCTGTTTGAGTGAAAAACAGTGGTTTGTTTTGTTTGTTTTTTTGCAGGAAAAGAAGTTTATTAGTTCTTCAGCGCTAATATCCTCAGTTCACGACTGTCTCTCAGAGAACCTCTCACTTATTTCTCTTCCTAAGTGTGAATTTATGTAGAGTGAATAAGGTTCTAACCTAAAGTGTCAATCATTCGCTATAAAGGCTCTAATTCCACAGTTATTATCCGTATATATGTTCTTTCAAGGTATAGCATCAGCAAATTGTTCAGCTTTTGCGCTCCACACATTTGTTCAGTTTCCTATTCAATATGTGTGGAGCGTGTTCTCAGTTTACCTCCCTTAATGTCACACTGGAGGTGCTTCCTACTGCGTCTTCATTTTATTTAAAAATAATAAGCCTGCAGCTTCCCATTTATTGTAACCCCCCCTCAACATGATTCTTCTTCTTCCCCAGCCAGCACTCAAAACCAAACTCTTCTTTCTTGTGTTTCATCTTCTGTCTCAGTCTTAATCCTTTTCCACAGTTAGGCTCGTTTCCATAATGTCGCTCCTCCTCGCTTGCATTATCATCAAAAAGGGGGAATCTAATAAATTATATAATAAAGTGTAATTTCTGTTATTGTCTATTTAGGATCACTCATATAAAGTAAGGTTTTAAGAATTCAGTTGGAAAAGTGTGTGTGCTTCATAAGTGGCAGCTCATAACACACTGAGCAGTTGCGACAATGTCAATTTTAGCTCTATTTATTAATAAAACTGAAACAAAAGCACCTTTCATGCTGGTGAATGTGTATCATACATTAGCTTTGTACTTCAGGCATATTCAGTTTGGGCTCTGTTTTGGTTTCCACTGATTACCAAGGAAAATGTCTGGGTCTTTAGCTAAATTATCCACTATGTCTATGCTAACAGGCAGCATCAAGCTGTGTTTTGGCAGGTGATCCAGTACTCATGTATGAGCCTTTAATTTAAATCCCTTTTAAGATATGGGGAGTTGGACTGTGCGACTACTGCTGCTGGTACTGTGAGGCTCACCTGTGAAAATAAAGACAGCATCAGTTAGGGTTTTAGGTGTTTAAAGCTTTTGTAACACAAGCAGAAAATGTTAAAGCTGACAGGAATATCAGTAGTTTTGCAGGTATTTCCTTACTGTAAAACTCAAAGAGTTGAACTGAGAATGTCTGCAACGCCCACAGATTTCTTTCTGCAAACTGTGGAAAGTGACAGACCAGCCAAGTGGCCCACTGACACTGCCATTATTGCAAAAAACCCAAGGTTACTGTGATACTGGAAACTTTCATTTTGTTTTACCTACCAGTACACTCTGAATATAGAACATAGCTACACTCTCGGGGTATTTGGCTGAGTTTCATATTGTGTTTTTAGTTACAAGGAGATGAATATTGTAGGACAGAGACTGATGGATCAGCTTGTGAAAACAGACTTACTGGAACGTTGAAGTGTAATGAAACAGACGGAGGCATTCAAATGAAATTTCAGCAGTTTGCTGTATGAAGAGAGCAGATGGAGCACATGCAGCTGGGATGTGACAGGGTTTGTGTATGGATGTTTATTTGTTTGTGACTGGCATCGTCAAATGGTTTCTGCCTCCTCTGAGGCCTTAATGGCCATCGTACATCACAGTGCTTGTGTCTCCCATCACGGCTGGGCCAGGCGCAGCCCGACACAAGTTAATGATCAGAGTTTGCAAAGGAAATGAAGATTTATGAGTTTTGGAAATGTATCTCCATCCCTGAAGTAGAAAGAAATGAATCTAGTTGAAAAACATGCCCTCCCATGTCTACATTTCATCGTCTACAACCTGTTGGTCTGTTTGTACTGAATGATCATAACTCCTCTCCCATCTGCAACGTAAGAGATCCTTTGGTCTTTAATATGAGACAGATTCGAGAGCTAACGAGTTAGAAAGCTGGGCAAATACGATAACTAATAACAAAACTAAGTGTCTGATAATGAGTTTCATCTTCTCCAAAGAGATTTTTGATATTCCTTTATGATCCACAATAGAGCTTTGGTAACCTTTATTTAAATTATTGTTTGAAGAATGCTCATTACTCATTCGTCAAGCTTAGTGTGATATATCTGGTACAGGAATACCACATAATCAGCATATTCTTACATTTGAAGGGCTAAAATCAGTGAATGTTGATGACATTTTGCTTGAAAAACTACTCAAAATGCGTACAGAAGAAGTCTAAAAGATCTGAGCCGGATGCACAAACATTACATCGCATTGAATTCAAAACCACAAAATGCACTTGCTTTGAACTGATTTATTGTCTTGAGGAAACACTGGATCCTTCTTTAAATATTTATTTACATTATTTACAGTTCAAACCTATTTTACATGGGTTGGTTGCATGCACATTATCATATATAAAAAAAAAGTACAGATATTTACAGTCATTTAAGAGGGAGTAGTCTGTGCAATAAAAGGCACACATGACCTTTGACCCTGCATGAATGTCCCATAAGTACATTTTTCACAGACACTGCCACATATTGTGTTACCATGCTACACACACCTGGAGAAAAAAAGCACTCGAGCAGCTGCAGAGGAGACGTGTGTTGGTGTGTGATAGAGATTCACTGACAAGCAGCAGAGCCGTAAAGTGCCCTCTTGATTGTGCCTAGACACGATCCTATCCTCTCAGCAGCCTGAGGCAAAGTTGAAAGTCTTTTTCAGCCATAATGATAAAGCGAGCAGAGACGGTGACTCACTAAGAACAGAATTCCACAATCTGTAGGACAATCTACAGTCATCAGAGATTCAGGATATTTGGCGAATGATTATCAATGTCCTACGTGCACCTTCTGTTTGATAAGGCAGTAAGGCCTGTTGGCTGAGGCATGAGGCTAATGCTGAGAGACTGACTACTTAGGTTTTTTCCCCCCCCCATACAGTCATAAGACGGCTGGGCTGGAAACAAAGGGCTAAAGGTGGTAATCACACGATTGGTCTGACTGGCAGCTTGACTCTCCAATCTGTTCTGTAGTCCTATGTTGAATTTTCTTGCCTGTGAAAACTAATAGATTTATATTTTGTATTCAGTCAATTCACCATTTGCTAAGCCCCACCACCAAAACAGCAATAGACCAAGTCATAGTTTCAAAAATGTAATAAGAAAAAGCGAATTTGGATTTGTAAACATGCTAAAACATTGTGAACGGGCCTCTACTGTGATCAATATCCTGTGTAAAGAGATAATAATAGTAGCACTGTCTATTTTATCCTTTACAGAAGTAAATGACAGTAGCAAGTAAGCAGTTTACCGCCTACAGAAGTACCCTAGCATTATTTCACATTGTGTAGGGCTACATTACAAAAATACCTGTTCAGAACTGGAACAACTACAGCAATGAGAGCAAAGAGTAACAAAAGCAGCTCTGCCCTCATCTTTATTTGGTTTGGAGGGAAATGAGCACTGAAACCCGTTTTAAAGAGCATCAGATTTGCTCACTGGGTTTTTGTTACATTTTCTGCAGCAAAAGAAAATGACCTTGCAAGAATAGATAAAAATAAATCAAACCACTGTGACGCCTGTCCAAGTATGTCCTCATATAAAGCTGTGGATTTCCACAGCTATCAATATAAACTGTGAACATGTACCAACACTAACTTGTACTGGGGCTCAGCAAATGGTTGTGCGAGCGCTTGTTTTGTTGTTTGCAGCTTTGCTTTTTTAACTAACACTGGGGGTACTGCTTTTGGATATTTAATGTTTAACAAGATGTGCAACTAGTCGACTGCTAATCAGTGCTAGAAATGCTAGTCAGTTAAATATATTGTCCTTTTTTTTCTTAATGTACAACGGCAATAACTGGTTCAAAGAACTTGCTGCGCCACCGTGGCATCTGATGCTAACCATGCTAGCCAGTGCTGTTGTGCAGAATTTTAAAAAACTAAGTTAAGAGAGACTGTATGTCAGCTTTGTCAGGATAAACTGGAATGTAACCAGGCATCTGACGTGATGTGCAACCATATTGTGCACCGGGATGTGGACGCTAGCAAGAGCCCAACGCTACTGTAGCTAGCCCTGCTAAGGTTAGCCAAAGGTTAGCCACCACTGCAAAATACTTTTTGTTTTTGCAACATTATACATGGCAGAAAGTGCTATACAGATAAGTAAATTTAAACTACTAACTGATAACAATTAAACATTTCATATAGCTCCACACAAAATATGTCTGGCCAATGTTATTATTTTATCTCATCTAACTTACTAGCAAAATTAGTCTTTAGGAAGATTCCTATTGATTACAGATTAATGGGTTTTACAGATTAAGCAACATATCAGGTGGAGCTATAAAAATCTACAATTTCTTCTTCCCATGATTATAAAAAAAAAAAGGGACAACAGGGATCTGTCTTTTTTGTGACTGAATTATTATCTTACATAATATATCAGCAGAAACATTATTATTACTCATTTCTACCCCTACTACAGATCTAAATGGATGTCCTCTTTTCAGTATGTTTTTCATGGCTGGAGCTTTTCTTTGTAAACTGAGTCTAAAACATGGCTGAATTACATAGCTGCAAAACAGCCTTGTGTTCATTTTATAAGTATGAATACATTTAGCTATCAGAGATTCAGCTGAAGTCAGCCTATGAGAAAGGAGCGACGCTTAATCTCAACGGCATCTCCTCTGTAATACGTGAAAAGGAATTGGCACAACTATTTACACATCGTCAAGTAATGAAGTGATGCTGAAGTACAAGTCTCAGAGTTTGGGGCAACTCAAGGTTGGGCTGATCCAAGGTCAGATGATAGTTTATTGCTTCTGCATGTTTATAATAACTCTCTGAGTAGATTTTATGCAGAGTCATCATTTTTGTATTGCATCTTTTGCGTGACGCATTAACAGTCAACAAGTCCAAATTCAGACATTTAGGAGATTTTGATTCAGGTGTACATCTTTTAAATTACCCCCCCACCCCCCAAGGGTGTTTCTGGACTTCTGATCAGCACCATCTGCATCGTTCAGAAAATGTACAAGCACAGGGCACCACAGAGAGTGCCTAAAGCTACAGAACTACAAGATCCTAGCATTAAATAGAAATATGGAGATGTTTTGAAAAAAGAGCTAAATCTTTTCTCAGCATTATTACCATGTGAAACATACCACCAACCTGGTGAGTAGGGTCAGTTTGGCTAATTGGCACAGATAAATACATAGTGTACGGTGGAGTCAAAGTATACAACTTGTTAGTTTGGGAGTTTAATTACCCCACTGATCACATTTTTCAACACTCAGTCCAGTTTTATATTCAAACTACTATACAAATACCCTATTTTGTACATATTTATGGTCAAAATTCAGTGCACATCTTCTTCTTTGGCCAAATTGGGAAGATGCTATCTTAACTGTGTACACTCTGTACACAAAAGCACAGTACAAAGATAACAAGTAAAGGGAATCAGATGCAAAATCAAAACATGAAAATGGCTATTTTAAAGACTGACAGTACCATTTTTCTCAAAGTAAAAAAAACCTGTCAAACAAGGCATTTGTTTGATTCAAAAAGCTAGCTAAATTCACAGGGTCAAGTTATAACTAATATTATCCTTCAACCTTTACCTGAGTTTCTAATCATAGCAAAAATAACACCCAAGAATGCTTCATCATACTGACACCATAAAAATGTTTGCATTCATTACAACCTCCCCACCTAAAAAAAAAGAACTCCAAAACCCCAATACAGTGGCACGCAAAGGTTTGAGCATCCCAAGAGATCTGAGATCTCAGACCTTAGTTCTGTCGTTTGGGCCATGGCTTGATGATGATGCAAATTATTAAAGCCTTTGCAAATACTCATGCTCCAACACTAGAGCAGTCGCTGTCCTCCTTCAGCAGCTGGCTAGCACTCTAAAAATGTAAATAATTGATGCCCACACAGCAACAGCTATAAGAAGATAGGAAAGTGTTTTTGAGGAGGCGGTCAGTTAGTAAACATAAATAAGAGATGGTGGTTAAAAGGAATGATGGATGGTTAAGTTGAGGTCTAGAAGTCCTAAAAAGAAGTCTGGTGGACTGATGAAGTCAGAACAGAAGTTTGCGGTCACAGTGTACAAAGACGTCTGGGGAGACTGGAGTTCAGGTGGTAAAGTGGGATGTCTGCCAATCAGAAAGTCAGTGGCTCGATCCCTGACTCCTTCAGTCCACGTGCCGGGAAAGCCCTGGCCAAGATACTGAAGTTATCCACAATGTTCCACTGGAGTGTGACTCTGTGAATTTTCTGAATGAGACTTGTAGAAAGCGCTTTGAGTGCTCAGTTGGTTGGATAAAAAAATAAATACTTAAGTCAATAAATCGAGCTTTGGTCTTATGTTTAAGCCAGTGGCTAGGAAACCTTTTTTGCAAAAAAACGCTAAAATAAAATTTTTACAAACATTACTTGCCAAGCCACTGGCACTAACAGACATTTTTAAAGGGGGTGCTCAAACTTCTGCATGTCACTGTTTTTGGAGTGTAAGCAGCTTCAAACTCATGTTGGACACATGAAACAGCAGCAGAACATACTCAAGCATCAGAGCAGAGTTGATAGAAAGCCTGCTGAAAGCACTTCATACTCTCAGCACGCTTTTGAACGTGAACACTGTTTTATGATCCCAGCATCACTTAACTCAACTACATACTCTATGTCTCTGGGTCTTTTATAAGGAAAAGTGCACTAAATCACCAATATATCATTTTTTTTTTAACAAAACCGAGTGATATTGCCTAACTGAACGAAGCTTAGCTGTAATACTAAGAGACTGTGAATTGTGTTTTTTTTTTAAAATTGAACGGTAAGACATCTATGTGTTAAAAGAAACTCTCGTCATTTTGGAGCAGTACAGGAAAAGTTCATAAACAGATGTGAATGCTTGCCATTTTAAGGATTATAAATCAGAGGTGTCAGACAAAAAAAACAAAGGAGATTTTTAAATGACTTTAAAGAGTCGCTGTCACCCGTCAACGTGTATGTACGTGTACGTTTGTCTCAGTGGAACATGGCAGTGCTGAATCTGTTTCATTAAAGAGACACTAAATCAACACAGTGAGGGACGCCAGGACCTATCAGGCAAGATGGATAACCGAAACATCCTCTGAAATCGTCTATTTGTGTGTGTCCACAGTTTGTGCATATGTATGTGCTGCCCACACACACAATCTGCCACATAAACAGATTTGTACATCAGTGCACAGGTACAGGAAGTTTATTCCTGTCTGTAAGTATAGCAGCAAATAGTGGGTGGAAGAAAATTGGGATGTTAATAATAAATCCCTCTCAGTTATGACCTACTTTCACCCAAGTAATCTTGCCTGAAAAGCTGGTGAGAGCTGCGAGACCTCTAATTAAATTGGCTTCCTGGAGAAGTAGCTGGGAAAGAGGTGGACTCCTCAGTAAGGCTGGTCAGTCTGACACTCTTACTAACCTCAAAGATCAGAGTGAAGCAGGAAAAAAAGGCCGGGGGAAACGAGTAGCGCTCCTATTATGCTTTGCGTCGAGGATAAATGGCAGGTATGAGCCACACACACTGAAGGTTGGTTTGGATAATGATCTGGCTCTCTGCCCTCGATGCGGCACTCAAGAACGTGTGAGGCGCGTCTTCTGTTTGTGTCGTGTGCATCTGCAGGGGTGTTTCTTATTTTTGCCGCAGTTAGCACTTCACAGAGCAGATAATAAAGTCTGTTCGGGTCCTCCAGGACCAGTGCTACCTCGGTTGTGCTACTGGACGTGTTTCCTATTTGCAAGGTCAGCAGCCAGACAGTCTGATAACCCGAGGCCCACAGAGGACAAATCCACACAGAGACCAGGAGCTACTCAGAGCATTAAAGAAAAAAAGACTTCAATATGTGGAGCACCAGGTGTTTTTGTACACGGAGACCCGTAAAAATGTTCACTCCCACCTCATACTGTAGGTCCAAAACAACTGAGGTAGGGAAAATAATAAATTAACACAAGATATTACAAAAATGAAAAACAATAAATTTCCACTAAGATAGTGAGAGGAAGTTGATCGTAAAGGGAGAAAACACAGTCAAAAGCAGAAGACTAAGTGATGGTATTTCCAAGATAGTCTGTTGATCCACTGCTGTGAACACACAGTATGATTGTCCACTTGTGTTCAGCATCCGAACAGCCACAACACTCCCGAATGGATGAACACAGGTCTCAGTTCTTTAGCGTCCCTCTTGGGGTTTTTTTGTTTTGTTTTTTTAATTCAGGCTGTGTCTTAATTTTCAAACAACAGATGCATGAATACACATGTCTCTGAGCAGGTCCAGCTCACTGTTTGAAGGAACAGAAGGACACTTTTTCATTTATTTGACACCAAGTTGCAGTAGTTTTCATGTCAGGAGAGAATCCCTTTTTGCCTGATGCACACACACAGCCAGGCACGATGCTGTTTATCTTTTCCATGTAGCACCACATTTGAATGGCACTTTCAAATTGGCAGTAAAAAAAAATCTGAAAGGCAAAGACTTTTTCTTTTGACTACATATTTCACCTCGGCTTTGTCGTGTTGCTTTGTGACAAAGAAGGACAAAAAAAGACACTACGATCGCCTTGGAAACTGTGATTTCAGTGTCACATTTCTGTGGTAGAAGCAAGCAGATCACAGATCAGTGGCTCAAGTTGTGGAAAAATGGCTGACAAAGGAACCGCCGTCCCGCCGGTTCTCACCTCTTCCTCCACACCTTTGACAGCCAGATCTTCACCGTCTTGTCGCTGGAGACGAAGAGAGAGAGAAAAGGTGGGATGATGAGCAGTCGAAAATCAAGGCGAACACAACAAAGGGGAGAAAATAACAGAACATCAATCAGGCACTCCTGCTTTCAAAACAAGTCATTGTACATCAGACACAACACAAAGACACAAACTTCAAAGAGCACTTCGAACACACACACACAGACTTCATTAAAGACCCTTCCACATGGTGTCATAGTAAAAACACCTCTCCAACCTAAAGTTTAGGAGCAGGTTCATAACTCTGCAACAAGTAAACCCAATTAACCCACCCACAGCATCACTGTTACTCTGCTAACCGTGCAGATTCATTTTCACAGTTCCTCTTGCTCATTCTCACCGTTCAGGTCCACTTTGTATTAGTTAATTAGGTAACGCACAGAACAACATTGCAGTTTCAATTGACACTACACACATATGTTGCTCATAAGACTGATTGTTAATTGTTTTTTGGGGGGATTTTGTTTTTAAATAATTTGTGTTAATGTGAGTGTGAATGGTTGTCTGTCTCTCCCTGTTAGCCCTGCGTCACATTGGCGAACTGTCTACCCCGCTGCTCGCTCCATGGCAGCAGGCTTCAGCCTCTCGTGCAACCCTGGTAAAGGTAAGCGAAAGAGACTGGGTGGATTTTTTAAGCTATAGACGGTATACATAAAATGGATGTAGTGCTGTGATGTCACCCACTGGTCACAAAGTAGCATTTTTGAAGTGTTGACTTGATCATTTCTTTTTTCACAGCATTAACTACAGCCTTACTGTTTCCACAGGACTTAAGAAGGCAAATAGTAATCAGGTACTGCTAATCAAATGCACTTGGTGTAATTGATCATGAGCAAGTGTGAGCACTCCTATAAAAGCAGAAACTTTGGCAGTTTTCTGGTAACAGAGCGCCAATCTTCCCAGGAGTGGACATCCCTGTGTGCGACAGATGGCCTCAAGGACAGCAGCAAATCTACAACAGAATGGCTGAAAAAGAAAAGAATAAAAGTGTTGCAAAAGACTGATAAAGTCATACAGTTACTGCTGCTATAATCTAGCGAATCATGGCATGAATTTAGTTTTTCACAGGACTACATGGAGCTTTTTCCAAGCTAAAGCCTGTTTTATTTTTATTTTCTACTCTGAGGTTGTAGCTCACAAAATGAATATGCAGGTATAGCTTGAGGGATCATTATGGAAGTGTTCACTGATGACTGAGATCACTTTAGCCTCAGGGTGATTTTCTCAAATACTTCTATGAAATAGGACGTCGTCAGTCACAAGACTGCACTAAATATCTGTAGCCAGAAAACCAGAACCCAGCTTATCCCAAAGGTACCAAAAACCACCAAACAGCACCAATTAGTTAACTTATCTTAATTGCAGGGTTTCCACAAGGGATATAAACTCAATAACTAAAGGTCTTCTTCTTTTGACTGCTCCGCCACAGGAGATTGTCTACTGCCATCTCACCTTTTCTCTAGCATCCTCTTCTGCCACTTCAACCCTCTCCATGTCATCCTTAACAGCATACATGAACCTCTTCTGTAATCTTCCTCTTTTTCTCCAACATGGCAACTCTATATTCAGCATCCTTGGTCCAATATATCCACTATCCCTCCACTGCACATGTCAAAACCAGCCTTGAGTCTCTAACTCTATCTCCATCCTGCTCACGCTAAATGAAAATCTTACCATCTTCAGCTCAGCTTGCTGTCATCAAAGAAAGTATCAAGTTGAACAACTATACCATTTCCCTTGTTCTCTTTTACCTCTTTATGAATACACTCACAGTTGCAGCTTATGTCTAAATAAATAAAACAATTCTCATCTTAAAATCTCCCCCGCAGCCTGGACAGACCCTGAAGACAGCCAGTTGTGCTGAACACCGGCAGAAATACTGCCCATTATTGATTAAACAAATATACGGTGGTATTGATTTTCTCATCTTCAAATCTCACTGAAGCAACTATGTAACTAAATGTCAAAATAGTCATTTTTAATAGTCCAGCACGCACAGACAAAATACATCTGCACACACACACACACACACACACACACAAATGACAGATTCAGAACAGAGCTGTGAGCTGCTTCCAGTCGAGAAGAAGCTGTTTGTCTTCATGGAAGAAGGGGTCCGCAATCAAACCATTAACCGCGATCAGATTACAAACTGAGCCAAACAGACAAGCACATTTCTAGACATAACAAAAACACCAACAAAAATAAATAAATAAATAGAAAAAAGAGAAAAGGGTACGATACGAAACAGAAAAGCAAAGAGATACAAACTTGTGTCACCCACGTAAGAAAATTCAAAGCAGGGAAAAGAAAAAAGGAGAAGAAAGAAGAAGTGAGTTAAGACGCTACCAGAGGAGGGAAGGATTGGTGAGCAGAGAACAGGCAATCATGGGAGGCTGGTGGCTCGGCCCTTGATGGCCAGGACCCGTCGAGGAAGACACGGGGTCAAGCCTGGCACATAGTTCCACAGCTTCACCCTGCAGTCACTGGGTTTGACAGAACGGGGAAAAGCAGAGGGGCAGGAGGAAGGGAAGGGGTGAAGAACAAGGGAGGAGAGGAGGAAGGCGGTTTGAGAGACCAAACATGAGCCGCAGAGAAGGTGACCGAGAAACAGCGAGATTAAAGACGAGGATAGGAAGTGAAGGGAAGTTAGTCGATCTCAAGCGAAAGCCCAACAGCTGAATGAGGAGTGAACAAAATACATAAAAACCAGCAGACTGAGGAAACCACAAAATGTCTCACTGCATCACACACTTACAAGTAAATAAGCATTATCTTTGTCTGATGCCACTGCGAGCTCAACAGAACAAATCTGGCCAAAAATAGGACTGAGTATGACCTTCTCACTGCTGACACATACCTGCGGATTACTGCCTGAGATAAAGTCAGCATGATTTAGAATTTCACTGAGAAAAACATTTTTGGCAAAGGGCAAACATTTTACTCTCCACCAGTTTATAAAACTCAATTGTAAGCACTACGCTCCCTGGTTCCCAACCTCCACACCCCATCCATGCTTTTAATAGACTCACCCTTCAGTTACTCTTACTGTCAACAACCCTTGTAGTGAGTTTAGATCACGGTCATTACAAAAGGCTAAAACTAATGCACATGCTGAGCACTATTATAGACAGCAGGGTGAGATTGCTATAGTGAATAATGCAAACTTTAAATATACATATATGTATATATGGAGTACACTTACATGCAGTACTGTTAAGCTTATCTTTGTGATATTAAATAAATAGTAATGATTTTGCAATCAACTGATAAGTACATAATCTCTTCACAGCATCAGTACTGTCCTGTATGCACCAGGTATACTATTATAACCACTGACACGTGAAGTAATATTTCTTCATCATGGCCCTAGTTAGTGGGTGGGACATATTAGTGAGCAAATTAACATTTGGTGATGTTAGAAGCAGGAAAAATGGGCAAAGGTAAGTATCTGAGTTTGAACCACTGGGTCAGATCATCTCCAAAACTGCCAGTCTGCCGTAGTCAAATGTGGTGCAAGAAAGGAACAGCGGTGAACCAGTGACAATGTAATAGGTGGCAATGGCTCACTGGCATACCTGGTGAGTAAGGGTTTGGTGAGGAGCTACTGTAACTCTAATGGCCAAAAGTTAATACTGGTTCAAATAGAACGGTGTCAGATAACATGTTGCATCACAGTTTGTTTAAATGGGGCTGCATAGCTGCAGACCAGTCATGTCTGACCCCCAACAATGGGTACATGAGAAAAAGCATTCCCTGTGGCCTCTTTCAAGGAGCATATCGCGCCCTGCCACAAAGTAAAAATTGTTCAACAACGGTTTGAGGAGCACAAGAACCAATTTGAAGTGTTCATCTGGCACCAAAATTCCCCAGATCTCAATCCAATCAATCAATCATCTGCAGGATGTGCTAGACAGACAAGTCCGACCCGTGAAGGCTCCACCTGGCAAACCTACAGGACTTAAAGGATCTGGGGCTAACATCTTGGTGCCAGATACCACAACACACTCTCAGGGGTCTAGTGGAGTTTGTGCCTCGACAGATCAGAGCTGTTTTGGCAGTAAAATGGGAACCAACACAATTTAAGCAAGTGGTCATAACATTATGTCTAATCAATGTATTTAGACACTTTGATGGAGTTACAGTACTATGACAGGGCACAGTTTTAAATGAAATTTACCTGGAAGCAGTAAAGATCTGTCTTGAGTTGGTACATATGGCATTAATGGGGCTCTCGTGACCTCTGATCTCTCCAATGGGAGTGAAGTTGTCGACGTTCCACACTTTCAGCATGCCGCCGCGGCAGCCGCTCAGCAGCATGGGCCTTCCTGGTACGTATGCAAGAGCACACACCCAGTCCTTGTGGGCGTTTGGGATTTGCTGTGAATTCAAAGCAAAGAGATGTTGGGAGTTAAAGAAAGATAGGATTGCATTAAAAATGAATCCAGTGGTTTTACAGCCGGTATGTTTGTAAGACATCTGGGTCACCATGTTCTATAAAGTAAGTTCTATAAAGTATGCTAAGTGCTTGGTGTTTAATGGATAGAAATTATCAACAGTAAAACAGGAATTTTTTTTAATGGAAAAGGGTACAGCATTGTTGCTAGGCAACATATAAGAACATGTATGGTTGAGAGACTCAATGAGAGACTGTATTTAGACTCAATTACGTAGTTATTCTTAGCTCGTGTGTCTGCGCATTCAGTATTTCACAAAGGCAGCGCAATGTACGAGCTGAATGTGGAATATCTGTTTCATGTTTGCTAAGATAACCCCACTGACATTACAAAAATGCAGAAACTGTCAGAATGATATTAATTGCATTCATTTCAAGAGCACGCTCCAGAATTTATTTTTGTATTGTGACAAAGAGCATCTAAATGGACACTTGTTTTTTTTTTTATTGCATTTATTTATGAAATAAAGGGAAAAAATGAAGAACATTATGAACCATATCTTAGCAGAGGGGAGATATTAAACCTTGTAAATTATTTTTTTTTAAAATTAGGTGAAATATTCAAAAACGCTATTTGGATTTTGTGTACGACTTTATTAAACTTTTATTATTACCTAAGCTTTGGCTTTGCTGTTGTTTTTCTTTTTTATTCTGTTTATCTCAGCCTACTGGGCTGCAGATTAATTTAGCTCTGAAGAGTGGAACACCTGCACAGGAGGATAACTTTTATTATGTTAATCTGCTTTTGCCTGTTTTATTTGCTTCTGACATTAATGTTATTTTTGTGCATTTTTCAGATATGCTTTTAATCAAAACAACAGCGCACTCTTCTAAAGTCACTCCTTACTTTTGTTCCCATCAGGTTAGTTTTGGTGGAGGGTTTTTTTTGTCTGTTCTACTTCTCTAATTTGTACTAGCAGTTACTTATAAATGTATATGGCTGATTGGCATGTGTCGAAAAAGATGCACAATTTAAAACAGAACATATCTTATTCCCCTTTTTCTTACTCTGCAGGAACGCAATTTACCATTAAAAAATAAGGTTAATTTATGCTACAGCAGACCTGCAAATCACAAACTACTACTGAACAATAGTGTTATGTTTACATACACTGCTAAGATGGTGAAGGGTTGCTTTACAAGGGGGACTGAATATGAACATATACTCAGTCACCAGTAGGGGGCTCTGTGACTAATAATGATAGAAGGATAGAAGAAGAGAAGTGTATGGTGATATGTTTTGGATGGCTAACTACTGCTGAATACACGTTCCATTATATAAACCAAGCCGTCTCCGTTCTTCTGTCGAAACACCACAAATAGTCCGAGCTGGGAGAGATTTCAATGTTAGGAGGGAAATTATCCAAATAGCTATAATTTCCTCTGTACCACATAATCTACTGCAGAGTTCAAATCGCTTTGAATAAACATAGGTGTGTGTTTAAAACAGCAAGACAAAGTAACTGTTGGATGAAAACTGTGTTTGGTTACATTGCCTGCTAGCAGACAAAGATGTTAACAGAGGACAGAAAGAACCTGGACACCCGCCCATGGTGCTCACACATAAGGATTATACTCAGACAGCCTTCTCAAAATAGTATCCCCAGGTTACAAAAAAATAAAAGCGGACGTGGAATTTCACATGGAGCCTCGTGTTCACCCTCTGATGGTGAAATTTATAGTACGTCAACGCAAATGGATCCAAGCTGACCCTCACAGATGTGTAAAGTGTAACACTAACAATAATCAGCTGTATATAGGAAGGATCCTACTCTGGCAACATCTGTTTAATAAATGTGTCTGGCTGCGTAATCATTCTATTATTCTTTCTATAATATTAATGGACTTTACAGGTTCCAGCTAATGATCGATACAAAAAAAGCTAAACTTAAGATCACAGTATCACAACCTTGAATTAAAACCTGCAACAGACGATCTGAAAAAGGTGTTTAATGCCAGAAAAGTTTAATAAATGATAACAGTATGGAAGTTGCACATGGGCAATGCAATTTGAAAGCAAAAAGAGAAATCTCTCATATCCTCCTGAGACCATATGTCCTCACATGGACTTTATATTTTGACTTTAGATTAGTGAAGTCGTGTGAACGGCTTTACTGACATACCTGCAAGCCAGCAGCTGATTTTTGTTGAAAAGCTACCTTACATAAAGGTTAGGTACTCAAGGAAAAGAAGCACGAAAGTACTTTCATCAAAAATTTAAATACATTTTTAAACCATTGAAGTTTCAGGGCTACCAAAGATTACAATCTTATTACATAAAGACAAATGGAGGCTATCTACACCTGGTTTAAGGCCTAGTAATCGCTGTGCTGTTTAAGTGTCACAATACAAAGTACTAAAGGGCCCTCTCAGGCCTCCAAAAAAGGTGGATGTCCACGACTCTGTCAAAGAATTCAAAAAGACCTCCAAAAAAGGCTCTCTGCAAATAATGTCGATTTTGAGGGAATAATAAAATTTGTACAGAACCTGCTGGCCCTGCCAATTGTGACCTCCAGCCTTTATCACTGGATCTGCAGGTAACTCTTGCATTTGTTGGTGTTAAAGAATAGTCCAGGTTACAGTCAGTGTCTATAATCAGATTCAACAAATTAAACTTGAATGGGCGGCTTTGCAGGGATAGGTTAATTGGTCAATCTAAATTGCCCATAGGTGTGAATCTGTGAGTGAATGTGAGTGCGAATGGTTGTCTGTGTCTCTGTGTGTTAGCCCTGCGACAGACTGGTGACCTGTCCAGGGTGTACCCCGCCTCTCCGCCCCCCGTGACCCTGGAAAGGATAAGCGGAAGCGAATGGATGGATGGATGGATGGATGGATGGGCGGCTTTGCAAGAAAATGCCTTTGATGCCAAAAACCACATTCGAGAAAAACTTAGTTTGCCAATGAACAGACAGAGCAAAGCGTTTGGAATAACATAGAAATCAAGTTAGAGCAGTTTGACCACAATAACCGTAGACCTGTTTGGTGCAGATCACTGTTTCTGGGCTCCATTTTCAGCCTTAGAAGCTGGGGAACAAGACGCCATTAATTCAACTTTAAATTCTGCATCTTATAAAGAGTACTTGGAGATAATGTTAGGCCATCTGAAGGTAGCTTGAACCAGAAGTGACCCTTTCAAAAGCATAATCAAGCCCTGGTTTGAATTCCACTGAAATGTTATAGAGGCTCGATTTAAAGCAGGCTTTACATATAAGAAAACCCACAAAGATGCTGCTGCTGCTGAGTGAACTTGCACGGTGAAGTAGTCAGTCAATGTCAGAAATTGCTAGACTGTTATGCAAAACATTTACAAGAAGTTATTACTGCTAACGGGTTGCAGTACCAGCTTCTGAGGCCAAGGGTACACTTAATATCTCACAGTATGATATTACCCCCATTTACAACTTTGTGGACTAAAACATTGAAAAAGTTATCTTCTTCCTCACATTTATCTTTAAGGGTGTCAGCTTTGTCTGTAGGCTTTGTTTCAATGAGGATCCAGTGTTTCCCTATGTAAATATGCCAATAAAGCCAACAATTTATATTGGATGTACTCACTTTTTTTCATATGCACACCGTAAGCGTTAATGCCGGCCGACACCTCAAGAGAGCAACAGCTCTCTCCGACATCCACGGCATAAGCAGGTCGATAAAGACATAAAAAAAACCCCATGCACGCTTCAAATTGTTTTTCAGAAGGTATATTAAACTATTTATCAAGCCAGAGGGAATCGCTAAACTACAGTTTATAGTGATTATGAACAAATTGCTTCACATATCCCTCTAGGAAAAAACTCTATAGCGTCGGCATTTTAACAGAGGGGTCAGAGCAGCAAGGCTCAGAGCAGAAGTCCTGAAGGAAGTGCAGTTTCAGACTCTACTGTAATATATTTTATTATACCCCGAGCCACAGTTTGATCCCATTACATAATTAGACAGAGAATACTGAGTTAGGAAGGCTGTAAAACGGATTCTGTTGGCTGCTTCATAAATGAGGTTAGGGTCATAAGCCACAGACCACAGCAAAGACTGAGCTGATTTAATTCAGCCTTTGAAAGGAAAAATAATATCTTGTGTTCTTGTTTTGTCAATTTGGATAAACAAAGGCTAAACAGCACTGCTGCTAAACTTTAGAAAGTGCAGCTTCATATGCAAATTTCTATGCATGTAAATGAGCCACATCCACCCACGAGGTGGATTATTATGCATTATTAACGTATGCAGGCAACAGGGGCTACACAGGAGACACTGCAGAAATCAGCAATTGCGTATAAACACACAACCCAATGCACACAGACGCACACACTGACTCTCCTCCTTGTTACCTGCGGCTGTGATGCGTGTGAGCTCTTACACCCTAATGTTGACACAGTGCTTTCCTGCCACATTACACATGGTGACACTCTGCACAGAGTGGGTAAAGACACGAAGGGAGAACTGCGCTGGCAGGGAGCTATCCACTGACTGAACAGGAAACACAGCCCTTCGCTGTCACCATTGTGCTAGTGTCGGATAACTGGGGCGGGGGGGTGGGTGGGTACAGTCGCTACCAAAGTGGGCACAGAAAATGTTCGTTTGTGTCGCCGGTGTGTCCGCCTCGATAGACACGTCGCAATTACAGGGATCAATAAGGAAAATGTCAGTTGGTACTCCGGCTCCAAGGGAAGTATTCTCTGAGAAATGTTTATAATATGACTACAAATATGAATCAGGACAAGATAAGAAGATAAAAAAAATAAGTGTCAGGACAAGAAGAAATTCAAAAGGTTTGAGATTGATTGTTTCCAAATATTTGCCATCATTTAAAGTAT